GCAAGTGTCACAATTAGCATATATAGCTCCTCCTAGTGATTGAGCAATATTGTTTATAAAGTTAACTTTCAGCTCATTAATGAAGTGAAATGCACTGTTATATTCCAGCATAAAGGCTGAACCACGATTGGCAATGTTATTAATAAAATTGAGATTTCCTTGAAGTGTGGCATTAGATCCTATGATTCTAAATACAGACCCATAATTGTTTATGAAGTTACCTGGATGAGAGATGCTGCCATTTATAATAATTCTATTGTAGTGGGGGTATAAGTCATGTTTGCATTGTTTGGGTAATCATTTGTACGGCTTCCAATGTAGAAATTTTAATAAATACCTGCTCCTAAGCATGGGCTCCTCTGATAATTGGCATTGCCATTAAAATAGCAATTATTAATGATTGTACAAGAACTGATCGAAGAGTTAAACTGCATTATTAACATTATTCCATATCTACCATAACACCATTTAAAACTGCTATTAGAAATGTTCACAATAGCTGGTAACATTTGTGTATAATATATTGTGAGACCTGCTCCATATATAGCAGGCATGGGATGCCTATAAGTTAAAGGACAGTCCCACCAATAAGGCCAGTAACTTGCATGAAGCTTAAGAAAAGTAGAATTTCTGATTTGCATATAATGGCCAGGTGAATCATTGACTGCTGAATGTGTTGTTAAATTTGTATACAATACAAATAATCCACTACCATAAAGATAACTGTTAAATGCAGGCCATTTGATATCAAGGAAATTAAAAGATGCATTAGGGAGATTAACTGCTACAATAGCAAACCCAGTGTAGTTCAATATAGTGACATTTGTCACTTGAACATTAGCAATATTGCTCAATAGCAAAGCAGTAGCGTGATCATCTGTGAAAGAAAGGTAACTTGTAGAATTGATGTCACTATCTAATGTAGTGAGATTAATACCACAATTATTAAAACAAAGTCCTCTCATTGTTAATGAGCCATTGGAACTGTAAAACGCAAACCCACTAGTCCAGTTCTTACTTGAATTTGTACAGTAAGTGTGAGCTATAGCATCACTTGGATAACTGATAATGTTAAGAGAATGGCTTATATTAGCTCTGCAGCACTTATTTTGAGTTATTTCATGAGTTACATTAGTATAAAGGAGCAGAGTGACATCATTACTGAATAATACTTCATTATCAGTACACAAGATACTCTCCAATTGGGAACTACCAGTGACATTGTGAATGACATCCACTGGAGATGAATTAGAACAAGGGAAGAAAATAAAAACCAGCAGACAGAATAAACATGAAATCATTCTAGAATACATCACAAAACATACAGACAGTATGCTACCAATTAAGCCTAGTATTTATAATCTATCACTGCTGAAACTGAAAGTGATGGTTGAGACAAAAACTTACTTCATGTTTTACAAAGCAAACAGCAATAGTTTATAGATACAAGAATTCCATAGTGATGATTTCAAATATTAACCAATCTTTTGTTGTTCATTTTAACCACTGTATGATTACCATAACAAATTTAAAGGTTTGATATACAATGACGGAATAGTTTTATGGCTACTAAGATAAAGTTGTTATAACATTTGATCAACAAACAAAACAATTATTGTTTTTGCTTTTCTACGGAAAGTTCTCATCATGTACTTGGTAATTTTAGAGGAAATTTTTACAAGCACTTGCCAAAATAAAACCTATAATGAAACACACCTTTTAAAATCATTGCCCACAAATTTGGCAACCAAAATGAAGCAATTCACCTAAATTTTAATGAGCAGAGTAAATTCATTTATCATAATCTTTATTCCTCACACAGTAATACAGGGAGATTAAAGCTATTTCTAACAATCAACGATAGCATTAATTAAAATATTATAATGTCTAACTGGCCTAGTCCGATACTGATGTGATAAGGTTGGAGCTGCAGCTGGCATCTCACGTCATGTCTTTTTTTCCTCTTTTATCTGTTTGTGTGTGATTCAAGAGCACCTGGTTCAGGAAACAAATATAATGTTATTAATAAAAATAATGTCCCTTCTGTTATGAAAATAATAATAACTGTAACATAATAATAATAATAACAACATGCATTTTTTATTATTAGTCTACATATGGGCCTGATATACATGAACATGTACATGTAGCTGCAATATAGTACAATCAACAAAATTTCAGTTAGAACTGGCTTTAAAACTTCATATATACATAGTATAAGTACATTAATTAATCAATGTGTATCTTAGAAATGTAATAAAATTAAGTTAATTTTGGAGCCATATTTTGAAAAAGCATGAACAGGCTCATTTATTACTGTACAAAATTTAAAAAATAGGCCTATTTAAAAATGGCCATAATTCAAAAATTGAAGTCAGAATTGGCTCAAACTTTCTACATAGCATGAACCTTGAAATATCAATATGTCATAAAATTGAGGGTGATTTCCAAGTGTTTTTTGAAAAAAAACCTTGTGCTTTATAATAGTTATTGCTTTTTTCAAAAATTTGCTACTTATAAAAAATAGCCATAACTTAAGTCAAAATTGGCTCAATAAACATTATGTATCAATAAAAATAATATTTTGGTGCATATAATTTCAGAGCAAGTTTTTGGAATTGGCACATTTCATTAAATTTTGGCTATATATTAATATTGTAGTTTGTCACTCTCATTCACTATTTCTTATTTATTGCATGACATTATTGAAATATCAACTGATGACTAAAATATCAAAATCAACTACATAATGAACTAAAGTCTATTGCTACAACAGTTCAACAACTACAAAATCTAATATGTCTGTTCTTGATAATGTTCATTATCCTATCAAAGGAAGGAGAGTTAGATGGGAATGATCTTATTAAACTTACAGTGTTCAATTCAATTAACACAGCGAACACTAACATCTTCATAGTGTTGACAGTTGTGTTCACCAATAGGAGTACTGGGACAATGAGTGATCTGTGCCTCTCCACCAGTACACTGCACATCATCCATCAATATTGGAAGAGTACCTCGTCCATAGCGAGCACAAGGGTAGACATGACTAGCTGTCCTGTATCCTAGTTGACGACAAACAACATGTGCATCATTTATGTCAAATAAATCGTCACAGACGGTTCCCCAATGACCTTCAGCATACACTTCCAAGCGACCAACAGCATAGCTGCTAGTATTTCTACCATCAACAAGACGAACATTTTCTACAAACATGGACTGCTAATGTTACTATTTACAATTGACATACTTACTCTTGCACATTACACTAGCATCTTCATGATGACGACAGTTATGAGTACCAATAGTCCTCATAGGACATGCAAAAGGACTATACTCATTACCAGCACAACGTAGGTCATCCATTACTATTGGACCAGTTCCCTGCCCAAATCGAGCTCTACGGTATGTTGCAGCAACATCAGGGAAACCCAAATACTTGCAAATGACACGACCATCATTTTCACCAAAATAATCATCACAGACAGTTCCCCACCGTTCATCCCAGTACACTTCAACCCTTCCTTCATATGATCCATTTCCTCCAACTAATCGAAGTGCTCTTTCTAAATTGATAACACTTACATTTAAAATTTCTTTCATACAAATTACCTGGGCAGTATCGAATATTGACATGCTGTATATCATATAATGACATCCTGTTACTCTGGCCAATGGTGACGCTTGCATCAGGTATTGGTATAATTGTAGGACGACCATTTTTACTGAAAGCATATCTACTATAATGCATCAATGAAAGATAATCATATGGTAGAGATTGACTGTCAGAATTAGTTTGTTTGTTAAAATTACTTTCACGTCCACTTCCTATAGTAGTAATAGTTTATTGCATAATATTTAAATTAATGAGTGTACTTATATTGCTAGTTATTATTCTGACATAAGTGTCCCTGTCAGCTCGTGATTGTTCATGATATCTCCCAAGTGCATGCATTATCTCATGAATAGGGATTGCAAGATGGCAACCACTAGATAATGAGATTCGCTGAGGACTAGCATTATTTAGTTTACCAACATAGGACCAGCAACTGGAATCAGAATTGAAAATATTGAAACTAGTTTAAACAGAGCTTACCCTCCTTCACTGACAAATTCGATGTAATCATTATTATAGTCTTGCTTTGGAATAAATCTTAAACAAGTGTGTTCATCGAAAATTCGAATTGAATTGTTTAAGGCATTTATTTCCCTTGTAGCTACATAAAATCAAATTTCATTGTGTAACATTTATACAAATTTTACTAACCAACTCCATTAATTGTGTATGGAATAGTCCTTGACCATTTGCCGTGACCACGAAGCCAGGCTTCAGAACTGACCAACCCATCCCACCCACTACGCTTGAATACTGCAGCCTGCTCTGGAGTCATTTTGATATCTCCCTCTAAAATATCTTCACCACTACTATACTCTCCACCTAAAATAATCGCATATATAGGCTGCTATAAAAAACAAAGATAGCTAACATACTTAAATTAGCTGGTACTTGTGAAACTTCCTCTGTCACTGCAAAAAGGGTTATATAAATGAATACTATTGTGCATTACAGACTGTTGTGACTCACATTCTGTTATCTCAGTCTTAAAGTTATACTTTTCATCACCTTTATCTTTGTTAATGTTTTTGTCATCTTCATCATTATCTTCATGGTCATCTTGGTTATTGGTATTTTTGTCATTCTTGTCATCATCTTGGTCATCCTTTTTGTCTTGAGTATGTTCTTCACCAAGGTCTAGATTGCTTTCTTCCTTGTCTTCTGGCTTGACTGCTAATGGCCCTAACGGATGGTCTATCACAAAAAAGACTAATTCATTATATGACTGTTTCACAACTTACCATCATTTTTGTCTGGCCCAGGGCCACTCCAGCTGCGTTTAGCTTATAATATAAAGAACATGAATGATATCTAAGTTGCAATACATTAAAACTTTACTTGGGCTACAGTTAACAGTTACAAGCAAAAGGACAAGCAGAGCTAGCCTAATCATAACTGCACCGTGCAGATAAGTTGTGCCAAGGATAGACTATTTTATAGATCTATACTGCTTTATATAGCAACAGATGCAATAACATCCTGTCTAGAGTAAAGTTAGAATAGTTAATTAGCTGTATTTATCTATTAAGAGCTACACAAATTATGTAGCAAAGGCTGAGTTTCAAGATGTTGCTCTTTTTTACATGCTGAAGATCTTTATTTGTAACAAACTCAACATACTAGCTTAAAACATTAATACACATGTCCTATGAATAAGATAAAAATAATTCTTTTTGTTATACGAAAATTTAAATATCTTGTGTTGATGTAACCTTTTCCATAGAAGCTACCCTCCTTTTGCCCATAGTTGAGGTGAATATGTTTTTTAATATTACAAGGGAAGTTAATTATTTAATTTGGTAACCTTGATCTTGAGAACCAGGCTAAAAATATAGTGTAAAAAATTAAGAGGCTGCATGAGTTTATGCTTACTATAGCTCAACAGATGTGTGTGAGGTCTCTGCAAGACACTTTATTATTAATGTGTGCATAACTTGTTTAAAGTACATAGTAAACTATAATTGTGCTTCTTGTGATGACATTAATAAGGTTAGTCATGCATATTTCCACTTACTACTCACTCATTAGTAATAATATCTTAAATTACTTGACTATACAGCTGCAGCTTAGTACCAATAAATAAAGTATGCTCAATACTGGAGATGCACATGCAAAATCATGAGATTGATGTGAAAATGCTATTTTAGATTTTCGTGTACATGCAACTTAATAAAGTATTATTATCATTGACTTATTGGTTATCTTTCTCAAGCACAATGTTACTATAGTGATAGTTGTATACCGGTAATGTAA